TTCAGTATTGTTATCTTAATAATTATTAAGAATAAAAATGTTCTTCTACTTATGTTCTCGTGCCTGCTAACTTAGTACATTAGATAGACTATGACATGTGTATTCAGCTCTTTTTAATGTCCCACTGCTGGGCACGGGCATCCCTTCAAGACGAGGGGAATCAAGGCCATAGCCCCATCCACACCTGGAAGATCGGGTTGGCGTTCTTACACAGGTCTTTTGAAAACTTGCTAGGTTCTCTCAGACATGCAGGTTTCCTCACGATGTTTTCCTTTACCGTAAGACAAGTGGTAATCATGTTGGAAAACAATTTCGCACATGAAAATGTCAGAGGTGCGAGACTCAGCATTTAAACTCGCTTCACTCAAATTTCCCAAGCGAGGCGTTACCATTGGGCTATCACTTGCCTTGGCATATGTGTCATCACCTTAATCACGTACTTTAATTAAAGTAAGATTTAAAAATATTACAAAACCAAAAAAAACCGGGTTTTAAACAACACCCACCGGGGGTTTTTATAAGTGGCCTTTGATAGTGTTACAAAGGCCTAATGGTGAACACGTTGGTCGATCCAAAATAAGCTGTTTGGTGAACAAGTCCAGTTCAACAATCATAGGGTCTGCAGTTCGTCGCATGACGCATCATGGAGCACAACAGACGCTTATGTCTTATCCATCTTAAATATTATATATTAAAAGTATTAAATAGTACTTAGCTTTCGTCGTTTATTTCATCTGGATGACTTTCGTGAATTAACATAATAGGAACTGGCCACAAATAAGGGTTTGAGTTCCTGCCCATGTAAATGTAACTTTCAAAGTTAATGTACAATTTCATACGTTGTTATATCTATTGCCCTTTCACTTAACGTATCATCGTAGGTAAATATAAACAAAAAAAAGGCCTATTTGTATGTTTGTTTATTAGAACTAAAAAACAAAGAAAGAATTGTTTGATCTAATCAATTTAAAGATGAATCAGTTTTAGTTAAGACTAATAGATATTAGTACCCCTAATGCAGTTACATGTTGAAGCGCTGCTTATCTTCCACTTTTGCTTTTTGCTTTACAAGTCATAAGTTGCAATTCCTGAAAAAAGACATGTTTAGGAGTTACCTCTAAAACTATAATAGGAATAAAAAGAGAACACCATCTATTATAGTGTCCATACCTCATTCTGCATCTGATAGCCACGGTTCCACTACTAGGGACCATACACATTATATGGTATAGGACCCCTAACCTATTTGCAAGCAAAACATTCGATATATATTCAGTTGTTGCATCTAAACCCCCCCAAATCGTTTTGAAAAAAAATAAATAATATTTTAAACTATATTTATCCGAAACCAATTTTGTTTAATTAGAGGAGAGATCTTATATATTATAAAGAGGTAAAGATTGTAAATTTTTGTGAGTTTGTTTGTAGGAAGTAATCTTTGGAAACTTACTGAACCGATTTAGATGAAATTTGGTCAAGAAAATAGATTGAGATCCTGGAAATGACATAAAATAGGTTTTTTATCCCGGAAATCATCCCTTAACAGGGTGAAATATGGTTATGAAAGTTTATATAAGGAATCAACCTAGAGACGAACCCGAGCGAAGTGGAGGGTGAGGTCGCACTAGTTATGAAATAAAATTTACGATATAAAATGTGATACTTTTACAAATGTACCACGACAAAGAAAATTTATTGATATCCATCTAACAATTACTAAACCAGAAGTACATGTAACTAGCAAAAAATTACAAGGAGAGCCGACCCCAAAACGATATGTTGAAAAGGCATTTTTAATCCTCATCACAAGAACATAGCAATATTTAATGGCTGAAAAAACTTTTTTATTCGTTTTAAAATATATATACTTTTGACAAGGCTGATGAAACCGGACCAATTATCTAGTATTATGTTAAATCTGTTTCATCCGTTAAGTCGATAGGTGATGGGGGGACGTTATTTTGGATGTTGGAATATAGCAGTTAGTGCTGCCTATAATAACACAAATTTTAAAAAATATTTTAACGTCTTTTTGTCTGTAAATCAAAGCTTTAAAAAAAATTACCTACATAATTCTGTAATTAAGTAATATGGTGTAATTACTAATTGTAAAAAGAATGAGGCTACGTTTAAAAACAGCAATAATCCATGATCATTATCGATATGCCTGAAAATATCGCAAATCCAACTATACAAGAAAGCGAAATCATGTACAGTCCTTTTCACATGTAGACGACGCTGATTTAGGTTATCTGAAAAATAAATAAGCATTATTTAATTATAATCACTTACATCTGCCTAGCTAGGTCATGTTGCTTTACTTTATTTACATAGGTGTAGAAGTATGAAACCGGAATTTCCTTATAGATGGTACTAGTCATCAGCTTAAGAACCGTAAGACCGCTTCTGCAGCACCATCATCTCCTTCTAACAGCTGACGAAGATTTTCAATACACAACAACCCAAATTCTATACTCCGGTATATTTTTCTATAACCTTAAACATGTCGAGTTTTGTGCCTACGAACTACGATTTGCGGACAGCATTGGTTTTCTGTTATCATTTAAAGAAAACTGCCGCAGAATCGCATCGAATGCTTGTCGAAGCCTACGGTGAACATGCTCTTGGTAAAACGCAGTGTTTTGAGTGGTTCAAAAAATTCAAAAGTGGTGATTTTAACGTGAGAAACGAAGAGCGTGGAAAACCAACGAAAAAGTTCGCAGACAACGAATTGCAAGCTTTATTGAATGAAGATGATACTCAAACTCAACAAGAACTCGCGGATCAATTGAATGTGACGCAAAAAGCAGTATCCATTCGTTTGAAAGCTATGGGAAAGATTCAGAAAGTAGGAAAATGGGTTCCGCATGAACTGAATAAAAGGCAGCAAGAAAATCGAAAAAACCACTTTTGAAATGCTGCTTGACAGATACAAAAGAAAGTCATTTCTCCATCGAATCGTAACAGGTGATGAAAAATGGATATATTTCGAGAATCCTAAACGTCATAAATCTTGGGTGAATCCAGGCGAACCATCGTCATCCACTGCAAGACCAAATCGCTTTGGAAAGAAGACAATGCTCTGTGTTTGGTGGGATCAGAAAGGTATAATCTATTATGAGCTGTTAAAACCTGGGGAAACCGTTTAACACTGATCGCTACCAAAAGCAAATGATTGATTTAAACCGAGCATTACGTGAAAAATGACCGGAATATGAAAAAAGGACAACACAATGTCATTTTGCTCCATGGGACAATGCCCATCACACACAGCAAAACGGATCAGGAAAACGATCGAGGCGTTCAGTTGGGAAATTTTACCGCATGCGGTTTATTCTCCAGACTTGGCCCCGTCCGATTATCATCTATTCGTTTCACTGGGACACGCTCTCGCTGAACAACGCTTCAATTCGTATGAAAATGTGCGAAAATGGCTCGATAACTGGTTCGCTTCAAAAGAAGATCTGTTTTTTTGGCGTGGCATTCATAAAATTGCCGGAGAGGTGGGAAAAATGCATACATAGCAATGGAAATTATTTTGAATAAAATATGTCTTATCATTTCAAACAACAGTCTTGTAATTTTTACAAAAAAATTTCGGTTTCATACTTCTAGACACACTAACTCAATAAAACAACAAGAAAACGGAAAAAAGGCAACTCATTCACTTTTTACAGTGACAAGCAAAAATAATACCATACTGCTTAATAATGGTTATGGTAAATGAATAAAGTTATTATTAATAAATTATAATAAAATAAAATAAGCTATAATAATAAAATAACTTAACGGACTAAAATGAAAGAAAAATATATTTTTACTAGTGACTAACCCTCGCTCCGCTCGGGTTCGTCCCTAGGTGCATCTTAACGGTTAATATAGATTTCTCATATCAGATATTTTCCTCCAGTAAAAAGTATTCTATTTGTTTGTCAGCTATCACCATAGCAAATTTTATCAAAATCTGTCCACCGATTTTCTCGAGATGCTTTCCCAGACAGACAAACAGACAAAGAGACAAGATTCGGTCTTTGTATCGATAATAATGATTATATCAAAAGATTTTCCTAAAATATTTAATGTACAGATTCGATTCAGTTAGAATTTTATTATATGTATATATTACAAAACTTTAATTTTGCTATAAAAAAGCCATGTGAACAGGAATTATCGACTAATGTGGGCAGACTTCGTTATTTAACCCCATTTCTTTAACTTAATTCTTTATAATTTAGATTATTATAGATTTTATTAACTAAGCTCAGTAGTTAAACGATTGATGGTGATATAATAAACGAATAAGCATCTTAAATAAGCAGTTTCGTAGTAATAAAAAAATACCAAAAATTGCGCTCCTTCTTGGTAAGGAATCAGTAACAAAGGTAAAAGCTCTAGAGGATATTTTAATGGTTGGTTGCACCTTATTCAGAAAATATTTCTTGCAAGGCCTCTGCAGTGTAGAATAAGGATAAAAAGGTATGTCTTTATCTGAAATTATTATACTTATTGTTACTAAAATAAATCTTCCTAAACGAATCGTACATGGCTATCCATTTTACTAAGATTAGATAAGTTTATAGCGTAGAAGTATGTGTAGCGGTACTTCCTTTACTTACTTTTATATGATACGAGTATGTCAACAATATCGCACTATCAACGGGAAGGATTCACGAATTCTAAAAAGCATTTAAATGTGATGTCATCGCCACTTTTTCCTAATAATATATATTAACACAACGGAAAACAAAAACAAACCTATCCCACGGGACCTGTACATTTTTTTGGGATAAAAAGTAGTCTATGTGTTATTCCAGACTACGAATCTATATTCAAAATGAAGAGATCCGAAAAAGAACCAAAGTTATAGACATGGCCCAAAGAATTAGCAAGCTGAAGTGGTAGTGGGCTGTTTTTGTCGTAGCACTGATAACCGATGGAGTAGACGGGTTCTAGAGTGGAGACCACGGCTCGGCAAACGTAGTGTAGGACGCCCTCCAGCTAGGTGGAGCGACGATATACGTAATCTGGCTGGCAGCGGTTGGATGCGTAAGGTTGAAGATCGAGCTCAGTGGCGTGCCATAGAAGAGGCCTATGTCCAGCAGTGGATGTAAGCAGGCTGAATATATATGTAAACAAACATCCATACATACTCTAAAACTTTCAAATTTATAATATTAAATGAGTACGGATTAAATAAAATTATACTTAAAACTAACTAAACGAGTAACGACTTTAGTAAATCTATCGCTTCTTATGTCGTACTAAAAGACGCTTTGCTTAGTTTGACAATTTACATTCTTTAGTAGTGGCAGATTAAATCCTATCCTATACTACTAATATTATAACCGCGAAAAATTGTGTGAATGGATGGATGTTTATTATTCTTTGAAGCAAAAACTATTGAACGGATTTTGATGAAACTTTACAGTAATATAGCTTATACATCAGAATAACACATAGGCTATAATTTTTAAAGAAATAGTAATAATATATATAAATCGCGTATATAATGTAAAAATATAATTTCCTCGTCATAGCATTAATGAATCCCTACTAATATTATAGATATGATTTTTTTTTGAGGATGGATGGATGTTTCCGTTTATTTATAAAATATTAGTATGGATATGAATAATCATATATTTATTTATATCAAACCTACTAATCTACGACCAAATCCTATCAAACTTCACAGGAGCAACCGCTGGGCTAATCTGAAGATTGCCTGAAAATTTTATCAAAATCGCTCCAGTCGTTTTGAAGTCCATTAAGAACATACATACACACATCAATTTTTATATACATATATAGATGTTAATTTATTTAATACCTTTGGTTAAAGATAGATTTTGCAGTTCATAGTTAACCAGTCGTAACGTAGACTGCAGATGGTAAGCGATTAGCACAAATTGCAGTTGAGCCAACAGGACCAGAAAGTACTCATAGAAAAGGAATGAGTACATTAGTAATGTTCGCACTAGAAGACAAAAAGATAACTTTATCATTTTATATATCATTTAAAAAAAATGTGGGTTGAGTAATTAGAATTATTTACTCAAAATCTACTTTAACGATTTCTAAAGATATTTTGCTTTACATAATATATTTGCTTTAAAGTTTAGTATCTTATTATAGAACTAGGAAACAAAATATTTCCAATCTGCAGTAGGGATATTTTGAAGTTATTTTCATTTAGCTTTGCTTGTCATTTTTTTTTCAATTTCTTGTATTTTATTTCTTGTAAAGACTAACGAATGTTTCATCCAGCCATCTAGTATTTTCCAGTTATACTTAATGATTGTACTAATGTTTATCACTTTGACTCCATGGGCCAAGAATTTCTTTGGCAAATGGTATAAAAACATAATTTTGACTCAGGAAGGCGTATTTACGTAACCTCTCTTAATACGGTATCTGACAGTCAAAATCTATTTTATATTAGATAAACAAAAAAAAATTAAACGTCATAAAAAGATAGTGACGAATCATTACGATATCTCTTATCTGTAAGTAAATAATATTAAGATAAACAAAAATAATTAATATAAACGAACCTTCTGTACCACGATGCAAAGCTTCTAAGGCATAGCCGCAGAGATCAAAAAAGATCAAAATCCATAAACCAACACAAGTCGTTATTACTGCAAGAAATTTAAATTTTTCGCCAGAATTAAATTTATTTTTAGCGCCAAGAAAAGCTTTAATCTGAAAAAAATAGTACCATTATAAAAAACTAAAAAATAAAATTTGAACAAATCATAATTAAAATATCGAGGAACAGATCCAAAATCTGGTCATTTGCAATATACACCACTATTATCAACTAGTGAACGAAAATGTTCATAAGCTCAAATAAGTATTACACTGTAACGATCTTGTTTAGGACTCTCAGTTCTTACCCAAAGTAAAGACAGTAGATGCCGTAGGATTTTATAAAAAATAATAGTGTCATTCACGTGAAATCTTACATACCTTGATATTAAATAATTATTAAAAGAATAAAATAAAATTACCTTTTCAATCTCCTTCAAGCAATGAATCACAGAAGACATACGTGTTGGAGATGTGTACACAGCAACGCTAGCAATCAATATTATAATGGAAAGGTTGCCCACCCAAATAACCCTGGACGTTGGGGTGCGCACGCGCAAGGACCGTGCAGGCTCAGTAAGAAGATCCAATGCAAAGCCAGAGAGAACTACGCAATCTAAAATATAATTGTGAAACAGATATTTGTTACCAAAATGTATCTATGAATGGCTAATATCAAATAATGACACCTAAAAGTTTTCGACAGATAGTCTACCTACACTTAAATATATGCAAATGTACCCGGTCTCCTCTACAGGGTAGTTAGAAAAAATAATTTTCATATTTCACTTCGGTCTATTTGCATATAAACGATTGGATAAGTATTTAAAATAATTCCTCATTTTTTTCATAAACAACATAAAGCATAGGCGTCTGTATATAGCATTTAAATTTTGGCAAATAATAAACAATTTACTTATAGCAGTGACAAGAAGATAACTGTAAAACATCAAAGGTCGAGAAACGCGTAGACCACTTGGCGAGTTAGTAATAGGGGCCACTCCTGCCAACCGGGATATACGGATTACTAAATTCAATGCACTCCTAGACTCCATTCTGCTAAACTGTGTTAAACAATAGCTCAACTTCAAATACTTAATTGAATTAAATCAGAAGCATATAAATCTACGTTAGTACCCAGTACCTACCAATAATTTACCAACAGTTTAGTTTAACAAGTAATTTCTAGTTTATCAAAACAATCTATTTAAATTGTTATTTTATCATTGATAAAATAAATACAAGAACATAGTAATTCCATATCTATTCATCGCCATCAAATATAAATGTAAACATAACCGTACATTGTTTTGTAGTTATAACTAATGGTGGGTAAATGTTACAGACTTGGCATGTGAAATGTTTATTTAACGTACAAGTATTTAGTCCATATTATATTTGTTTTTGTAAATACGCTTAATAACTCATAATAATCAGCAAGTTATGTAGAAATCTCACAAATGTGTGGATTTTTAATACAAGCTCCTGTCGAACGTCACGCAGAGATTTTATTATACGAAATCAATATTAACTATTAATTATGCAGAGTTTTATTTGAATACTAGCAGAACCCGCGGCTTCGCTCGCGCTAAAAGTACATAAAAACTTTAAAAAGTGGGTTTCATAAAAACTTTCATCCCTTATTTTACTCTCTTAGGGGTTGAATTTTAGAAAACGCTGAAATACGTAACTCATTATTTTTGCCGTGCTCTATTCATACGAAATTTCATACAAATATGTCCAAGAGATAAAAAATGTCATACAAACTTTTACCCTCTATTTCACCCCCTTAGGAGTTGAATTTTGAAAAATCCTTCCTTATAATATAAAATCATATAAAAGTGATAAAATAATAACTTTATTCATAATTCGGTACGCTATATATTCAGTAAAATAAATATTTCATATAAGTAGTCGAATCAATAAAAACTCATTATTGCACTTCCTCCTCTGTAGTGTTTTGTGAATTGTTAATATTGTCGAGTAGATCCCCATCTACGGTCATAGGTCGTATTATAGCCTGAAATGTCCCGATCATCATTTTATTATCTTGTGTTCCTGAGATTTGCCGTTTTACTCTAGTTCCATAATCTTTGCTGATCCCATACTTCTTAACTGTATTTGTGTCTTCATAATTATTGAATACATCATTAAACGCTTCCTTATATTCAGATGTTGCTACAACCTCATTGTTATGTAAATTCTCATGTAGTTCACTTACATTTAGATCCAAATTATCTAATTTTGCTATAGAATTACTTTTTAAAAACGTATTGCTATCCATGATTTTTTTTTCGGATTTCTCTGGAATATTACATAGACAAGCAGTACTAATCAACAGTAGATATACAAAATAATTATACATTTTTGTATTTATTGAAACAAAAAGTTATGGACGTGCAAACGTGTAAAGAATAGATATACAAACATGTAGTGAACATTCGAGTGAGTCTTTTTATCAGCCCTTCATTTAAAAACTGGGTTAGTATTTTGCATTTTAGTTTTAAATTACGTATTTTCAAAATATATTTAACATGAATATTTATGATTTAATTTTGCATATTATTATTATTATAATTTAATGTATCCTGCATGTTTCTTTAGCTTTTACGTATATTTATTACATATTAGGTCGTTTCATCGATCTGTTTTACTGGACAAAAAAGGAATTAACATTAAACATAATAAATTAAAAAAAATTGTAAGCAAATTACATATATAGCAACTATTAACAAAGTACGAAGATTTCTACTGTAATCTTTGCCTAAAAATACACAATATCACATTTTGCTCAGACTAGTATAAAAGTTGTAGCAAAAACTATAATTTTTAGGTATTTCCTACAATAGGGTTGAATTATAAAATTATATTCTTCCTATTGTTATCGGTTTACGATTAATGTTGATACCACGATAAATTGAAATTGTTTGTATCAATTCAGAGAAAAATTGGCAATTGATAGTCGCGATCTCAATTGATTATAATAAAATCGAAAATTTATCTTTTATCTGATTAAACGACGAATAGCAAAATCCATACTTCAAATCTATCTATCTATACAAAAATCTATAGCATCAGATTTGAAAAAAATAACTCAGGAAAGGATACTTTTTACTTCGATACATTTAAATGTAGAATTCTAAAACTCACATACGCATATCAGTTATCCACACTAATATTATTAAAACCGTATCTAATATATTTAAACGAGCAATTCTTGTATCCAACGATCGTCGGCTCTAACGATTTTCATGAAAATTTAGTATACAAGGAGTTTCGGGGGCGATAAATCGATCTAGATTAGTCTTAAGTCTCAGAAAACGCGTATTTTCGACTTTTTATGCAGTTTTCTTTTGCATTATTCCACGCAAAATATGGTCGGTAATTTGCACGTTCGGGTATAAGCATCGTGCTCAAGCGGCCAAGGTGCAAGATCAACAATCACAGTTTTTACTTTTTTTATATATTTATTCAAGTTTTTAGTTTTTATTTTAAACAAAATTGTACTTTTTAACTCAAAAACTCCGAGCAAAGCTCGGTGGCCCAGGTACTCTTTATTTTAAACGTACTAATTTTTGTAACCACCAGTGGGATTTGAATAAAATCTTCGTCTTTTTGGAAACGGATTAATTATAAAGCATCTGGGCGAGCGAGCTTCGCTCGATGTTTTTTTCGGAAGTGGTATTGATCCAAATCATTAGAGCTGTCAAGAAGTTTTATATATATATATATATATATATATATATATATATATATATGTATATGTATTCATATTTTGGTAATTAAATTTAAAAGTTTATGAGTGTTAATAATGAGCTCTTTCTTTAGTATATAAATGTTTTAAAAATAATATATTTGTCTATAGATATTGTTCTTATCTGGGTGATTTACCTATCTGTTCTATTTTACTGCGATCGATTTTTATTTTCAAAAATAGTTGATTTAACGGAAGATAAAAATACAATTATATTTTGTTTATAATAGTATTTCTCAGTGGTGTTACCAAGTCGGAATGCCGATTTTTAATAATCAGTTATTGATGATGTAGCTCTAATTTGCTAAAATTGTACAAAATATAATTGTGGTTAAAAACTATGTACATATATTATAAATTGAAATCATTTTAGCCTATGAAAATATTTCTTGGAACATATGAAACTGTACATAATATTGAATTCCATAGAAAATCATATTTAAAAGTGCAATAAGTAGTTACTTACTTCTGAAATACATAATTATAAAACAAGAAAATAATGCTTCAAATTGAACTCGTAGGTTTAGATTTTAGAGATACACGCGCTTAAATAAAAAAACGATTCAGCTTTCTATATTAGATAACTATATATTAACTAAATCTAAATAGTAGTTAACCATATTTTTACTTTTTCTATATTTTTCAATTAAATAATAACACGGATATTTATCGACATCTATAATGCAATAGAAGTTTTAATGTGTGATGAGGATGTCAACCTTATACGTAATGAAATTGCTTTCATAATTACGTGCATTGAAGATTACTGCCATTTTTGCCACAATGCAAAATGCCATAATTACGTACTACAGAATAGCAAAATAAATCTTACTTACAGTGGAAAAAGATTAAATTTTTAATTATAGCATCTTTATAATTATACATTAGAGGTGCGAGAATTTTTTTTTGGAAAATCTTATTGAAATAGACATTATTATCGATACAGAGACCGAATTTACAGTTTTTAGAATTTTTGTCTGTCTGTCTGTCTATTATGAGGCAGTGGTAGCCCAGTGGTAATGCGCTCGCTTGTGAAACCGAGTGAAACGGGTTCAAATCCCGGGTCTCGCACCTCTGATATTTTCATGTGCTAATCATTTCTAACATGATTACCACTTGCCTTACGGTGAAGGTAAACATCGTGAGGAAACCTGCATGTCTGAGAGAACCTAGCAAATTTTCGAAAGACATGTGAAGACCGCCAACACTTGGCCAGCGTGGTGGACTATGACCTGATCCCCCATCTAGTGAAGGGAGACCTGTGCCCAGCAGTGGGACGTTAAAAAGGGCTGAATACTACTACTACTGTCTGTCTATCGGTCTGTGACTGCATCACAAAAAAACCACTGGACAGATTTTGATGAAATTCAGTATGATTTATAATATAGTATAATATAACTATAGCTGGTTATCCGGGTCAACATATAGGATAATTTTTACTGCGGGAAAATATCTCATCTCTGAGAAATCTATACTAGACGTTGAAACCCGAGCGGAGCGAGGGTGAGTCGCTAGTTTTAAATAAAACTAACTATCTTTTCTTTTTACATACATTTTTTTTTGATGTTTGGTTTCCGACGTTTTGAATACTTTACAGGAGTCATGGTCACGGAAGGGGCTCTCTCTCTCAAGTTCTCTCTCTCTCTCTCTCTCGAGTTCGTTCTAAACGTTGGGAATCAAAAATCAAAATAAAACGGCCAACGCCACTGGAAGTATACTTAATACTTATAAATAGAGAGAATGAGAACATTTTGTTACTTAATATTGATTTACTTATGTAATCATTCTCTTACAACTGTTAGCTCGTCTCTCCCATCTAACCTATAAACAATACCTCAGCCTAAAAGACAATGGACAAAAACAATGAACTTATTCAATAACTTTAATATATCATTATAGATCGTTATATACATATTTTAATGAGATAAAAACACGTTACATTTTATAGATTAAGTTGATCACTTCGATTTTTTACTGTTATACTTATCTAATTGCTGTTCAATAATCAATACTTGTTCCATCACTTCTTCTGGAGTGAGTTGAAACGCCGATATCATAGGAGCGACAAAACTTTCACTTTTCCTTATGTTGCTCGTATCTGTATTATCTTCAAAATTAACAGTTTCAAAAGAATTATCAGTTTTTGGACAACAGGTACTGTTCTCTGGATCCAAAAATGTTTCATCTTCATGTGTGCTGTCGTTAGTAAATATCGTTATGTCATTCCGTTCTAGTATTTCTGGATGTTCTATTAGCATATTTAGTATATATTCAAAAAGCGTTGGTACCGTTCTAAATGCATTTCCATATTCACCTCTAGAACCAAATAAATCCATTACTTCTTCATTTTCACCTGTAAAATAATATTAATGAAATATCAGTATTATTAGTATGTATTATATACTGCACAAATATTTCAAAAATTATGAGTGAATGAATAATGCTCACCTTCACAATTAGTCAACAAGACGTATAATACAATGATAAATGCTGCTGTTATTTTCATGTTCATTATTTATGACTTTAGTGCAAGCTTGCTTTGAGCAACAAAACATGTAATAAATTGGCATTTAAAATAGACAGGAAACGCCACAGCTAATTTCAGATAAGACATGCTAATATTACCCTAAATACGATGATAAGGAAACTACAGGGAGTATTAAAAAAATACTAATTTATAACAAAAATTATGATAGTTTAAAAAAGCAAAAATTTGGTAATCAAATTTTGGGAAATAACCGGTAATCTGGGTTGATCAGATCGTTTATGTATTCGTGAATTCCTTTAAAAAATAAAAAAATAACACAAGTCTTGGAAGGACAAGTCATGGTTTATCCTACAAGACAATAGGTTCATTACGCATTATTTGTTGAGAGGTTTGTAACCATGTACCCCAGTAGCATCCCAGTGTTAGACCATCCACCTTATTTACTGGATCTTGTGTTGTGCGACTAGGAAGCCTAGGAGGAAGAGACCCCAGGAGGAAATCCTAGAAAATCTGAAATCTTAATAAATGTTTACATTTAAGTAGATTTAAGTAACTAAATACGTACAGGATAAATATTATGAGTAATAATAGATTAGGTTTTTTACATCTATAACAAGAATCATAATATCATTACGACACGTATGGCTCAGTTTGTAGTGACCGTACTTACTGTGCTAGCGGTCGCGGGTTCGAGTGTTGCTGGAGGCATTCATTTGTGTTATGACCACGAATGTTTGTACTCCAGTAATGGGTATTTAAATTTATAATATGTATTTATTTAAAGTTATATATGTGTAGTTTATCAACGATCTGATATCCATAACACAGGCCTCGTAGTGTACCATGGAACTAGATGGTGCTGTGTGTTAATGTCCCAGCATATTTATTTATTACAAACTTTCATCGACTACCATAAAGCTGGATGATGTAGGTACAATTGCAAATAAAAAATCATAATCGTGTAGAGCACGAGTTTCCCACTAGACCATTTAAATTGCGTACAAAGTAAGATGATTAAGAATATAATTATAGTTATTATTGTACGGAAATACTATCCCGCACAGTTTACGGCTACATTACAAAATCATTATCATAAATATGATAATATGCTCTTTACTCAAATTATTTAAATGAGGCATTTAAACTTTACAATGAAACCTATATCCTATCAGGGTACCGCTAGCAAAGTTTTTTTTCTCACTATTGGAAATAACAACTAAATTGTGTAAATGTACTGTAAGAAATGGAGTTAATTTTCTTTTCAAATAATATAAAAAAAATCTTAAACAATTGCAGGGTGACATCTTGATTCTTGTCTAAGCCCACAGATCAATAAGATTTCCATGTCAAGGTAATTTCCAACATGAATTTACCTTACCAATAGAGTACAGAAAAACATTGTGAGAAAACCTGCATGTCTGACATCGTGAGAAAACCTATATTAACCAGCGTGGACTTTTGCCTAATCTCTCTGTAACATTAAAAAGAGGCTCGTGCCCACCATTGGGACAATAAAAAGGCTAAGCTATTATGATATACATATGCTTATAATAATATAATAATAACAAGATAACAAAGAACATTTTTATCTTTTATTTACTAGTACAGAAAATTTAAATTCTCTCTGGGTCAAAAGATCAAGAATGATTGTTTTAAAAAATCTTACTTTTTCAAAACAATTTAGACTAGTGGATATAGATTGATATCGTAATCTGCCAAACCAAACGGCCGAGTAACATGAGATCAAACCCTTTTTTTCGATAGGGAAATTGATTTATTATATCAATAGCTGCTCACCCTTGCTTCGCTCGGGTTAGTCTCTAGAAAAACAAAAACAAATCTATCCCTCGGAAACCATATATTTTTCCGGTATAAAAAGTAGCCTATGTGTTATTCCAGACTATAATTTATCTGTTTGCCAAATTTCATCCAGATCTGTTCAGCCGTTCTGGCGTGAAAGAGTAACAAACATCCATACATACTCGCAAAACTTTCACATTTAAAATATTCATAATACAGATAGATGACATTTTAATATACTATAAGGACAGCAAACACAACCATGAAATCATCAGTAACCTAAGCATAGGTACAAAATTATCAAATTATATTGCTTTACATAATATATTTGTAAAAGCCATTATGAGTATTTAATTTAATAATTACTTCCGTATGTTCTATGCAGAAGTGTTAAACAATTTTAAACAAAATAAACAAAAACGAGAAAATGTCTGTTTCTGGTTGATTTTATTCTTTGAAAAAAAAAATTATATAAAAAAAATTAATGTATAAAATAAGAATATTATAAAAGCATAATTAAATAAAAGGAAACCACTACTAGCTAAGGGTAATGTGAAGAGTAAAAGGTAATGCGAAAGTATAAGCGAGCAATTTTAATTCTCCTGTCCTGTACCTGGTCCTGTTGGGTTTTAGTGGTACTACTGGCTTTTCTAGCAATCCATTTCTCAATATAAAAAAAATCATTTACTATAATATCTCTTTTTTTTTACTTTGGGAAATGCATTTACGCACGAGGTTTTGGACTCACCGGCAAAGCCAATACTACCCACTAAAACCCAACAAAACCTTCCCCCGTCTTAAAGGGGCGTCGCAGGATCGCTTACGCATTCAACTACGACGCCCCGACGGCAGGTCTGCCGAAGCAGACCACAACAACCATGGGGTTGCTCCAAGGTCCACTCTGCTATCAGAGAAGTACCAGGAGCAACCCGCATGGTACACCGCCCACCGAAGAGGGCCAACTCCCACCGCCCACCAAAGCGGGCCACCTCCCTGTGCGTTTCTTGGCTTCGCGCCCGGCTGTATTGCCGGGCACTACTGAGCCCCATGACACCACCATGACAAGGTGAACGCACGTTGGGGGGGACTATAATATCTCCTGCGCAACTACAAGTAGTAAAATAAATAATGCTATAACAAATAGTAATTAATACTATTATATTATTTCTTATTTCCTACTCAAAACTAGATAAATTCTCTGCACATCTAATTTTAAAACCCTTTTAAACTAAAATTGAAGATTAACTCAAAAATCTCAAAATTGAATGAATTATTTAAACAGTCTGTTTTCAGTTTTTTTTTTTCTCCAAAATTGAATAGATTATAATCGTCTTATTTTTATTTATAAAAATGTTACCATCATCTGGATAAACACATTCCTATAAAAACGGATAACTAGAAATCTCAATATCAGTTTATTCTACATTCAGAAATGAAAGTTTTTTTCGTCATAACGTTAACACTTATTACATTTTCAGTGGCACGATGTGGGAATAGTGTGGGAAATAAGATGAGCACAGATTTTATAAAAACAACTCCCATGAGTACGACCATAGATGAGGAAAATACTAGAAGTAATTTCGACATAATGTCAACAATGGTAGATTGTAATGATACGTTTCGGGTTGAAATGTGTAAGTACCTTTTGCTTTTGAAAATTTTTGTTTATATATTTACTTGTACATTTGCGGCTACAAACTAATTTGAAATGTTTTTTAAAGAATTAGGCTATGTATATAATATTTTTTCAAGATATTAATATATCAAGCTTCACAATTATGTTGCGGTCTTGTAATTGGTATATTATGTTTTTTATTCTGATGATATAGTAAGGGTAAAAATAAAATTTTCACAAGTAGGTATTTTCTATACATATAATAAAATTCTAACTGAGTCGAATCTGTACATAAAATATTATTTGGAAAAGCTTATTGAAATAGAAATTTTTATCAATACAGAGGCCGAATATAGATTCGGCCTTGATTCGGATTATAAATAGGTATAGTTGTTGTTGTTAGTCTGTTTTTCTGTCTGTCTGTCTGGGAAAGCATCACGAGAAAACCACTGGACAGATTTTGATGAAATTGGTTATAATGAGAGCTGGGTATACGTGTCAATATTTAAGATACTTTTTACTGCGGGAAAATATCTCATCTCAGAGAAATCTATACTAACCGTGGAAACGTTCCTAGGGACGAACCTGAGCGGAACAAAGGTGAGTCGCTAATTTTAATATAGGTACAATCTTTTCTACTTACAGCCTATTTAGAAAATTTAAATAAGAGCGGAAGCTTTCCAGACGAAACTGATAAAACTCCTAAGGTATTTATAAATAATTTTATTCTATTTAGTACATCAAATGCAATAATAGAATTCCATCTAATACAACATTTTTATGTCTGTTTGATACTTTACACACTAGCGTCTCGATTTTTAGAAATTTATTAATTTATCATCTTTCATCATAATTTCTTTATTTACACATTTTTGATCAGTTTTATAACAAGTTATTAGTTTTAATTTTATTGCCTTAGTGTTTTGTTCGGTGCGTTTTGGAGAAAAGTTATATAATGATAGATGATAATCAATTTAATGTGACACGCACTGCTGAAGTGTTCTCTCAAATAAGAGATATACCACAAGACGAAATTATCAAAATGGCAAACGCTTGTTCAGAGAGGCGTAAGTATTCTACATTATCATTGCTCAAATATTAAAATAAAAAGCTCTCTATTAGTTATTTGTAAGCCTTCAAACAATATACTTATTTAGTTTTCATAATAAATAATAATAATATTATTATTCGTTATGTTATTATGCCCCATTTTGGGCGCCACTTCCAATAAACTTTTCTTTTCTAAATTGAAACAATAACTTTTAACAATGAAAAATTTCAAAATGCTAACAAAACTATGAGTACACTTAGGTATAATTTTTTTTTCTAAATTACTAAAAAGTTATCTGAGTTTTTCAAATGAATATAAAATTTTGTTGTGATTAAAGTTAAAAGATTACGTATATTCCCTGGAAATGTAATTTGGTTATAGTAGAAATATTAATAAAACGTTTCACATTTTAGCTGAAAAATGTAAATGCGAAAAATCTTATCAATATCTCAAATGTTTGTTGGAAGCTGCTATAGAAATGTATGAGAAAAGTTAACATATTATTTAGCCAACGACGACCCTACGGACCAATGGACAAAGTGACTTCTTATTAACTTTTTATATATTTAATGATTTACTATATGGTGAATTATTTCAACATACGAAAGCATATTGGAAATTAATAAAAATGCAATGAACAAGAAAACATTTTTTATTGACTGTATCATGAACATAATATGTATGTGTATTGTTGTTCAGAACCAGAAATGACGGGTTCGGTTATAGACAGTTTTAATATGTTTCGATTTATACTTTCTTAGACTTTTACGAATATTTGACATATTAAATGAAAATATCTTTTCAGATTTTGTCACGGTTGGTTGTGATAATTTTGTGGCTACTGCTTGTAACTACTCTCTAATAACTTTTGAGACGTCTAAAATCTTAGTCTCTCCCATAACCATGTTAACTATAAGCCATTCGAAACTTCAGGAATCAAAATACAAAAAAAAGACAAAGTGCGACATAAGTTAGCCGCAATTTAACACATCTTAACTTAGCGATGACTTTGTTTTTAGCTTCAGTAACGACACTAACACATATCATGTTTGAATGTATGTTTGTTTCGGTTAAATTTTGCAACTGAATTTTAAAGCAGTTATCGTCAACCGATTGAACCGAAAAGCATACAGATTTACTTCAAATGACAATGAATGGTTAGATAAGTGACGTTAGTCTAAATCCAACATGGCGGACTTCCAACGATGGCGGATTATGTTTTTTTATGCACCCCCATGATATGGATATTAAATGAAAGGGTCCGTGAAAAGAATACGAATAAATACCAAAAAAATCAAGTGAAGTAAAAAAGTTAAATCAAACCCATTGATTACATTACACAATTTATATGATATAAAAGCTTGGTTTTAAAATTGTTTATTTTTTTTTAATATTAATTTATTAATGTCACTACGCCAACATTGCTTTACACGACTTAAAAGCCGGATTTTTTTTCTTTTAGAAAATATACACTCAAATAATAATGTAATTGAACAATAATAATAAAAATAAACATAGAGGAATGGATAAAATTATTGAAGTACTTAACCGAGCGTTAAGAGATTGCACAAAAAGCACTTATATAAAAAATATGACGAATATTATTAAAAATGCAAATATACTTGTAGATGATTTCTTTGTTTATTAACGATAACGTTACAACTTTTTAAACAGTTTTTAATGATATTGTCATGATTTAACAATTAAAAATACATTACGTAGACTAGTACATTAAATTATGTATTAATAAGGTTATGCTCCATTTTTTTTATCGCCGAATAAGCTTTGCCATATCGACCCTACCCATCCAGTTTGAGGCTCTCTGAAAATAAAAAAAACTATAACATTAACATTTACACATTTAACAACACACAACCGAACTGATTTTTAGCCCCCGACGCAAAAACGACGGGGTGTTATAAGTTTGACGTATCTGTGTCTGTATGTGTGTCTGTGTTTGGCATCGTAGCTCCCAAACTGATGAACCGATTATGATTTTTTTTTTGTTTGAAAGGTGAATTAGTCGAGAGTGTTCTTAGCTATGTTTGATGAAAATCGATCCAAGATGGCCGCCGCCACAAAATAGTGGATTACATATTTTTTCACAACTCCCTCAACATGGGTATCAAATGAAAGCACTTGACTAGTAGAATAATATACACTATAATAAATTTCAAATCCAAGAAGGCCGCGACCACATAATGGCTGATTACAAATTCGATTTTTTTTTAATTTTTAATTTAATAATTGTATCATAATATAAAAAATTTGTTAAACTGTATTATTTGGGAAAGTACATTCTTTCAACATAAAAGTGCCTTATAAAAGAGAACTAATAGAAAAGATAGACTAGTTTATTTATTACTAGTTTTTTCCCGAGGCTTTGCTCGCGTGGTTACCGGGCAGCGTTCAAAGGTAGCCTATTTCCGATTCAAGGATGCGACCTATGTCCTTTCCATATTTTATCGAAATCTGTTCAGCAGTTCAAGTGTGAAAACATATAAAGGACAATCACAGGACAAAGCTACTATCATATATATAATATTAGTATGGAATTAATAAATCACTTTCAGTAAAATCTATAGGTATATGACACTGTCCTTAGCCTGAAAGTTCCCGAGGCTTTGCTCGCGTGGTTATCGGGCAGCGTTCAAAGGTAGCCTATTCCCGATTCAAGGATGCGACGTATGTTCTTTCCATATTTTATCGAAATCTGTTCAGCAGTTCAAGTGTGAAAAGGTATAAAGGACAATCAAAGGACAAAGCTACTATCATATATATAATATTAGTATGGAATTAATAAATCACTTTCAGTAAAATCTATAGGTATATGACACTGTCCTTAGCCTGAAAGTTCAACTTTTTATATAAATGAAATACACATTTGACTACAGCCTGGCCTAATGCTGCAAGGCCAAGTCACAGGATCAATAGCTTAATTTACTCCACAATGCCGGATATTCATTCTTGCCATGCCTCGACAAGTCATCACAAATTCAAACAAGTAGAGGGGGCGTTAGGCTTGGCTTGTGTAGATTTACAAACACTCGTACCCATTCCGATCGTGTCGGTTTTTGTGCACAAATCAAATGAAATTTGCAGCAAGTGCTTGTGATAAATCTACACGTTAGTGCGATTGGTGAGATTTGAAGTGTGTCGCAAATGGCACGCGTGTGGGCCCAGCATTAAGTAATAATGACACTTTAACTTTTACATCGAACTGGTACTTAAACCCAAAACCACATGTTAGTTTCCTCTTGCTCACAAAGAAATCATCACAAATTCAAATATATGGAGAGAGCGTTTGGCTTAACTTGTGTAGGATTGCAACGTTCCGATTTTGACGGTGTTTTTACCCAAAGAAAATTTGCGGCAAGTGCTTATGTTGCATCTACACGTTTGTAGAAATTTGAATTGTAGCATATAGCAAGCGTGTAGACCCGACATTACTTATACATACTCTTTTTTACAGTTGTACATAAAGTTTATTTTCTTGACGTCTCCTCTGCTTAAACCCTCTCGCTGTCCAAGAGTAACGCCTTTAATCTACAATAAGTAATTAAGCTTATTATTTTATTGCGCTATTGTTTTATTTTTTTATTTATGTGTTAAAAAAGACTCAAAATATAGAAGTAATATAAAAACAGAACAAAAAGTATCTAAAAAAAAATTATCGGATATAGGTACATGTGTCTATGCACAATTATCTATAATTTACACCTAAAAATAACCAGCAAGATTTTTTTAAATTAAATCAAGCGTTAATTCCTCACTTTACTGATGTGTAATATTGTGAATAAGTAACAAGTACTAACTAATGATAAATTAGAGTAAATACTATAATTTTTTTGAGAGAGTTTCTTTTTGAAATATATATATTTCTAAAAGCAACTCTCTCAAAAAGCAACTGTTGAGTTTTCAGCCGGCTCTTTTCAGCATAACTGTCTTCCGATCCGGTGGTAGCCTCCTTACAGATTGCCTATTCTAAATAAATAAATATATTGGGACATTAACACACATCACCATCTAGTTCCACGGCTAGCTACGAGGCTTGTCTTATGGATACCAGATAGTTGATACACTACACATATAACTTTAAATACTATAAACATATTATAAACAACCATGACTGAAGTGCAAACACTTCTGCTCATCACATAAATGAATACTCCCAGCGAGACTCGAACCCGCGACCGCTAGCACAGCAAGTAGGGTCACTAGAAACTGAGCCAAACGTGTCGTCAAACTGATTATTATCTTTAAATTAAATTGACGATTCAAAAGTAAGCACTTTTAAATCGTCAATTATTCGTATAAGTCTAATTGAATAAAGTTAATTTTCATTTTTCTAAATATATAATAGTTCATTCATTCAGCCAATGCACAAGCATACAAGTTAGACATTTCTATCACCTTAGGTTCTATAGTCTTCTGAGAGTTCTTGGAGAAAGCATACTCTGAATAGTGCATCACACTATTGTAGTCGTATGAGACTCCAAAATCATGTGCACGTTTGGAATCCGCCATTTTAAAGTTATTTTCAGCACCTGGATCAGAGTTAATATTTAAAACAAAATTTAACACACCTCTAATTTAAATAGAGAACTGATATAAACGATTCTATTATTGGAATATATGTATAATAACAAAACTTTACTTTGAGCTCCAGTGACGTTCAAAGTATTATACCTATATGTATTTAACTTTTAATATACATACATATATTTAAGTACTTTGGCTTGACTCGGGACCCGAACTGAGCATCTCACAATCAGCAACCGCTACATATTAGCTAGCTAAAATGTTACTCATTACGTTTATAAATAAAATAATACAAACCGTTTTTAATATTGTTATAATGTATTTTAATATGGCTGTCTCTATCAGGACGGCTTTGTTCGTGCATGAATCCAATTGCGTGTAAAAGTTCGTGCAAAACTGTGCCTTTCTTGCTTACACAACCTGGAGTCTGCAGGTTTACTTCTTGGCGACCACCTGGACATTTCAAATTGGATTTAAATATATCAAGGTTTAATTAATACTAGCGTTCATCGATTGGTTGAAATTCTACTATATATTTTTTTATTGATAACACTAGAGCTCGTCAATAGCTATAAAAAAAAAGAAAATCAGTTGACGAACTGATGAAAAAAATGTTCGGAACTGTTTTGTCTTTACCTATTAATGTATATCTATAGATATTAAAATTATATGAGCGATTCACATATACCTACTAATATAGTATAATAAAAATATGTTTAACTTAAATTTATAGTTTGTCTATTCGAGTTTTTAAACAAATATACAGATTAAAAATCTAAAATATCTTTCGACCAGCTCCATCAATGAATAAGTGATTTTGTTGCTAATCTATATATATAATAAAATTCTGAATCGAATCTGTACGTTAAATATTTTTTAAAAAATCTTATTGAAATAGTCATTATTATCGATACAGAGGCCGAATATATAGTTTTTAAAATATTTGTCTATCTGTCTGTGAAAGCATCACGAGAAAACCACTGGAAAGATTTTGTTGAAATTTGGTATGATGATAGCTGAATATCCAGGCCATTATATAGAATACTTTTCACTGCGGGAAAATATCTCATCTCTGAGAAATCTGTACTAACGGTTAAAACGTACCTAGCGACGAACCCGAGCGGAGCAAGGGTGCACCGCTGGTAAATAAATACAATATTTAGCTTTATAAATATAGATTGTTTGAAATTTGAATATAATCTATATTGATTTGAATTTGATTTGAATTGAAGTATGTTAGTACAGATATAAAAATTATGAAAAGAAATAAATATTAAATTAATATTTGACTATACCAAGTTTTCCCACGCTTGACCAACAACCTGTACTTGCACTCGTAAACACGATGTAGTCAGTTTGACCGCTGTAGGGAATGAAACGCAAACAGGTCAGTCTGTGGTAATCTGCTATTGCGCGCATTATTGTTTCTTGCTGTTCTTTGTCTATAAAAAAAAAATAACGCTATATTACTATAACCGCTAACTTAATTAGGTAAAGCTTCAGGAAAATTAGATTCAAATGGATTGACTGTATAAAATACGGGAGAGGAAAACGATTTGCGTTTAGGACCAGATATTAACATTTGAAGTAAGTATATAACATAATTTGATTATGTGTATATTTAGCCCTTATTTTAATGTCCCACTGTTGGGCACGGGCAGCCCTGGATTTACACTAGAGGCACTCGGGGCTAGTGCCCAGGGCGGCAAATTTTTAGGGGCGGCAAAATTTGGAGTGGGAGCAAAATTTTTTTAACTTCATGCTATGAAAATCAACGATTTTAAGAAATTAGGAAATTATTGGTTCTATACTGATTTTCAATAATCGCGTTCTCATTGGATCTTCACGATTTGAAATCTAGTATACAGTAAATATTTTTTTTCTGATTAACATTTAAGTTATTGATTCAAAAATTTATAATAATATCCTTTTTCAATTAATAGTTGTTATATACTTATCCTTTAACCTAAAGAATACTCCCGTACAGCATGGGGGCGTAAAGATAACAGATTTGGTTTTACTAAATTAATTTTCTATATGAGACCAGGGTTGATAATGTTTAAAACCAAAAAAAATAATAGTAGAATGAAACCCATTGGAAAAGGAAGAGAATATAACAAAAATGAAAGGAAAAATAATTAATGGGTGATCCGAGGTCGGGATGTGGGAGGGGGTGAGTTTTTAAGGGTAAAAAACGGTTTATCTCGATTTCTGGCAAAACTACAAGTCCTATGGAAAAAAGTTAAATGACAAAGTTGTAGGTTTTTTCACATTTTTTTCACATTTTCAGCCCTGGTCTGTATGTCGCCGTGGAGATTATTCGCCTGGTTAATCTATAAATCTATACAGATAAATAAAATTGAAGTGTCTGTTTGCTATGACAAAATAACAGCTTTTTACTAAATGCACATAAAATTAGATACGGTACTTATAAGAAAACACAATTTTTAAATTTTTTGTCTGTCTATATGTCTGTCTGTTTGTTTTGACTAATCTCCGAAACGGCTGGACTGATTTTGATGGGACTTTCACTAGTATATAACTGATGTTATAAGGAGTAACATAGGCTACTTTTATTTTAGAATAAGAATTAGGGTCCCGTTCAAAAAAATGAAAACGTACCTAGAGACCCTAGTGTAAGAAATAGGTAATGCAGTATATAGGTAATAGGGCGGTATTTTTCACGGTGCACCAGGGCGGTACTTAAGGTAAATCCGGCCCTGGGCACGGGCCTCCTTTCAGTACGAGGGGAATCAGGCCATAGTCCACCATGCTGGCCGAGTGCGGGTTGGCGAACTTCATATATCTTTTGATAACTTGCTAGCTTTTGATAACTTCTCTCAGACATGCCAGATATGCAGGTTTCCTCACGATGTTTTCCTTTGTCGTTAAGACAAGTGGTAATCATGTTGGAAATGATTCGCACATGAAAATATCAGATGTGCGAGACCCGAGATTTGAACTCACTTCACTCGGTTTCCCAAGCGGGCGCGTTACCACTAACACCGCCTCAGCCTTGATTAACAGTGAGTTTTTTTAAATAATAATATACTCATCGAAATTACAAAATACTTCCAGCGTTTTAAAATAATGAGATACGGTTTTACTTTAACATGCGCTTATTAAATTTAAAATAAATTTATATATATAGCCATACATAGCCTAATTGAAAATAGATTTACTTACTAAATGTTGGGCTAACTTGGTAAGGAATGTGGCCCTTTGGCCATCGAGCTGCTTGATCACGAATGCCGTTACGACCATACTGTGGTATTAATATATCCCCTTCTGCATATCCTCCCATTTCCTCAGGATTCATCAAAGATGATTCTGTCCATGATGCCAAAGCATTTCCTACGAATGTTTTAAAGGCTCATTTTTACAATTTCATAATTGTATAATGTGTCTATAGTATGTGCATATTTTGTTAGCATGATACACATCTATCTATATACTATACATATAATAAAATTAGAAATAGTCATTATTATCGATACAGAAGCCGAATCTATAATTTTTAGAATTTTTGTGAGTCTGTCTATCTGTTTGGGAACGCATCAAGAGAAAACTACTGAGCAGATGTTGACGAAATTTTGTATGACAATAGCTAGTTGTCCGGGTCAACATATGGAATACTTTTTACTTCGGGAAAATATCTCATCTCTGAGAAACTATACTAAACGTTAAAACGTAACTCATAATTGCCTTTTTTGACATATTCTTTCATAGTATTAAAATCATTGTAATTATGATCGATCAGTATTAAAGAGAAAATAAGTATTCTAAAACATCGCTTATTTTAAATGTAGTCAATTAACTATAATAATTATCATCATTGCCACATTATTATTATGAAGTCCCCCACAGTCTGAGGGTTTATTCGGCATAATCTCTGAAACTACTGTACGGATTTTCTTAATGTTTTCACCAATAGAAAGAGAAATTGTCTAGGAAAATTATAAAATATAGCCTTTGTGAGTATTTTGCGCAAATAGGGTAGCGGTAAGTATCTTATCTGAGGAAGCATCCCCACTAGTTTTAAATTAAAAAAAAAACAGTCGCCCTCTAAAATTTTGCAATACACATTTATTAAAATACTAGCGACTCACCCTTGCTTCGCTCGGGTTCGTCCTTAGCTTAATTCCCTGCACAACCTTTTATCCCCATTTTCATCCCCTTAAGGGATGATTTCCGGGATAAAAACTATCCTATATATTTTCCAAGGTCTCAAACTATCTTCTTACCAAATTGCATCTAAATCGGTTAAGTAGATCTAGAGATTACCCCCTACAACGTCACAAATTCACAAACTCACAAACCTTTACCTCTTTATAATACTAAGTATAAATTAAAAATATGTCTTACCACTTTCGTTCTTTGGCAGTCCAAAAGCCTGTGGTTCTAGATCAGAGAGATCGATGTCACCATCATCTATGTAGTTGTCTAAATCATTATCTGTGACTAATACGTTATCATCGTCAATCGGAATACAAATATAACCGGATATAAAAAGCAAATTTAAAAATAATTGAACAACACCCATTTTATTGTTCTATAAATTTTTTTTAAAGGAAAAGCCTTCCTAGCTAATTGAAGCTACGGAATAATGTGACGAAGAATTCAGAATTTTTTCCCATTTATATAAATGAGTGTAAAGTTCATTACACTTTCATGATAAAGGATATATAAGTTACGTGTTTTTGATAATAGAAGCCTTGAATTGTGTTTTTATGTGTTTTAGCAAACTGATAATCGTGATATTGTTTCCTTCGCTTCCGGACGGATGTTTAAACAACCGGAATGTATCAGACGTCATGTAATATATCTTCCACGATAGAAAATGTAACTAAATTTTTTAAGTGAAAACTACTATAAGGGTAGGTTTGCATCGGGAGTAAATTCATGTAAGTCGTCATCGACATGGTCACGTGCCGATAGATGTTAAAACTAGATAAATGTGAACAGTTTTAATTTACAAATTTTAATTTAAGATCTAACAATTAATTTGAATATCAAAAAATAACAACTGTTTGTTTATAGTTTTAAGTTTTTACTTCTGTCGGCAGTCCTCATGACTTATTTCTTTTTCTTTTATTGTATTGTCTTTTTTTTTATTTTTTGCCAAGACTGATAGACACAAAGAAGTTTTATCATTTTGATCATCTTCATCCTCTCTATTAGTTATATTATTTATGACATTGATGTAATTATACTGGTAAATTAGCATGTGTAAGAGCTATTAAAAATTTCTAAAATTTTGTTAAATTTAGATCTCTGCAGTTAACTAAATACGCCAAAATAAAAAGTGTAAAAAGTTATAATTAACATATCTTGCCAATTAGCACTTCTTATAAATAAATCGCAGTGTGTGCTCTTAGTTGACAATTAAAATCATAAACTTCTTTCAAAATCGATCTAGCCGTTTCGGAGATTAGCCGAAACAAACAGACAGACATTTTTTTTTAATTGTCTTTATTATAAGTATCGTATATACTTTCACATGTATTTAGTAAAAAGCTGTTCTTTTGACATTACAAACAGACACTTAATTTTTTATCTGTATAGATAAGTATATCAATATAAACTATTTTAACGAAAATTTCCTTTAGGAAAAATGGGGCCATTATCTTTACAAGGAAACACATTTCATAACATTCGCAAATGTTATCTATGACAAAATTAAACACTGCAGTTCTCTTACGTATGCTGTAAACACGTTACATCCGACAGGCCTGTCCTCTGCCTATATATACACACTACTACTACTAATATACACTATGTTATACCAAGAATTACTATGTCATTTTTACGTTCAAAACATGTTTTCATTTTATAAATTGCATATTGCGATGGTTGAACTGTAAGTTTTGTCTTCAAAATGATTATAAATAAATGTGTTGGGGCATTAACACTCAGCACCATCTAGTTCCATCGTAAGCTACGAGGCTTGTGTTATGGATACCAGATAGTTGATACACTACACATCTTCTCCTTCTTCTTCCTGCCCTTGTCCCAATTTTTATTTGGGGTCGGCGCAATATGTTTTATTCTTCGTATAACTTTAAATACATACATGTTATAAATATAAACACCCATGACTAGAGTACAAACATTCGTGCTCATCAAAGAAATGAATACCCCCAGCGGGACTCGAACCCGCGACCACTGGCACAGCAAGTAGGGTAGGGAAGGTTAAAATTGAAGGTTGTCCTATAATAGTCTCATGTTTTTAGAGACTTAAAGATTAGGGAATCATTCATATATTATTTAGGTAATGATAATATATTATATTATATTTATAGAAAGTAAAGTCGATTTTGGTGAAAAAGACGTCAGGCGAAGCGATTGCGGGTCGTAATATTGTAAAGTGCCGGACCCGAGCGAAGCGAAAGTAAGCCACTAGTTTCATAATAATTTATTTCTCGTGTAACTTATAGTTTAAATATTTAAAATGGCTATGTTATTATGCTACAATGTCGCCCCTATGTTTTATTACAAAAATAGATAATTTTCCTTATGTAAACATTTTTCTTTAGGTAGTAGGTAAGATACTATAAAATAATGTTCAAGTATTTGTCGGACCGCGCATTGAGGGTTCTCTACAATTATTGTACAATGTATTATTATAAGACACTTTTCCTGTATTAATCGTTATATTGTCGGTAATTAATAAAATTTATCCACAAAAGAGAAAATCATACGTCCCGCGCCAAACGTCAAAATATATTCGTCGTCATACTTTTTCTGCCAGGCTGGCACCCTTTTTTTTTTTTTTTTAACGTTGGGAAATGCATTTACGCACGACGTGTGGGACTCACCGGCGTAATACAGCCAGTACTACCCACTAAAACCCAACAAAACCTTCCCCCGTCTTAATGGGGCGTCGCAGGATCGCTTACGCATTCAACTACGACGCCCCGACGGCAGGTCCGCCGAAGCAGACCACCACAACCATGGGGTTGCTCCACAGTCCACTCTGCTATCAGAGAAGTACCAGGAGCAACCCGCATGGTACACCGCCCTCCGAAGAGGGCCACCTCCCACCGCCCACCGAAGTGGGCAACCTCCCTGTGCGTTTCTTAGCTTCGCTACTGCTACTGAGCCCCCCCACCACGACAAGGTGAACGCACATTGGGGGGGCCAGGCTGGCACCTGCGTCGACGAACACCACAGAATTGAAGATTGTATGAAGAGAAGATTGTATGAAGGCGCTCAATGTCTTCAACTAAACTAACGGCGCATAACATTATTTTGTTGCACATTAGCCAGAATAAAAAAAAATTACATTACACGTCATTTTATTAGTGTTTTAGAGGTTGCACTATAATCACACCAAGTTTGACGTAATCTTATGAGTTTGCCACTAACTTTAATCCCTCCACGTCCGCGGACACGCCGGCGTGTCAGCTAACAATAGATTTCTTAGAATTTTAATTAATTTCTTAGAAATTTACCTGGAGGTGTTAATATGGACCAATAAGAAATTTACAAAAAAGCTTTTTTGTATGTTTTTTTAATTCTTGACATTTTTTATTATTAATTAGCCCTCACGGTAACTGAAACTAGTTAAAATCGATACGGCTAACTAATCGGCTTAAGAGATAAAGCCATTTAAAGAAAGGACGGATAAAAGTATGTATAGCCCTAGTAATAAACCAACTACGTAACTCTAGAAACCTACAAATACGGGCCCCTTATTCCTAAGTTGGACTATGTTTAATGGTAATCGTTATCACAATTTAAAGTAATTAAGCGGTACTTGAACTGGAATCTTAAAGTAAATTAAGATAATGTGTAAATATAGGTACTTTATACGCCATAGAACCTGTTGAAGTTTACGAGGCAAAAAGTTTTACTGACGAATTTAAATGATATACTTACATTTCTAATACAAATATGTAAAAGAGTATTTTGTATGTTATTACGTTGCCCAGCTCTCACTTCAAGGACCCCCCCAACGTGCGTTCACCTTGTCGTGGTAGGGGGGCTCAGTAGTGCCCGGCAACCCAACCGGGCGCGAAGCCAAGAAACGCACAGGGAGGTGGCCCACTTCGGTGGGCGGTGAGAGGTGGCCCTCTTCGGAGGGCGGTGTACCATGCGGGTTGCTCCTGGTACTTCTCTGATAGCAGAGTGGACCTTGGAGCAACCCCGTGGTTGTTGTGGTCTGCTTCGGCAGACCTGCCGTCGGGGCGTCGTAGTTGAATGCGTAAGCGATCCTGCGACGCCCCATTAAGACGGGGGAAGGCTTTGTTGGGTTTTAGTGGGTAGTACTGGCTTTGCCGGTGAGTCCCACACCTCGTGCGTAAATGCATTTCCCAACGTTAAAAAAAAAAAAGCTCTCACTTCAAGGAGACAGGATTTTATGTAGAAGCCGTTGCGGAAAAGAGGGAACTGTCGCCTCCGTTTGTCATAATTATGCCTTAATCCCTCCACGACCGCGGACACGCCGGCGTTACAGTTAACAATAGATTTCTTACAAATTTAATTAATTTCTTAGAAATTTACCCGAAGGTGTTAATATCCTTTGCAATAGAAACCCTCGAGGGCCTTGCTTGCCCCTTGGAGTCGAAATACTAAAACTTAATAAGCTATATAGCATTCTCCATTTTGAATAAGTTGGTTAAAAACGGCTGAATACATAACACGTCGTGGATAATAAATAGCTTAGGTTGTGATGTTAGTTAGAATTGATATGTGCTATTTGTAAGTTTTTTTTTCATTAATTATAGCATACAATTTTCGTTCGAGACATTTTATCCTTACTCTATCCATTAATTCGATAAAATGGTGACGGTCTACCTTTTTACATTTTCAGTTGGTTCGATTACCGGTTCAGGTCACCTATTTTAAAAAGATATACTACATGCAGTTAATCTTATTTTTTTAAATAAAGAAATGTTTCCTTTGAGTAAATCTTTGCGTATATATATATAATATATATATATATATATATATAATATACTTATATATATACACACACGCAAATCATAACATACATCTAAAATGGTAGGTTTCATACAAACTTTCATCCGATATTTTACCCCCTAATGGGATGAATTTCGAAAAATGCTAAAACACGTATTTAATTAATTGTATTGAAGAGCATTTATACCAAGTTTCAAGTAATTCTGATCATAAATATTTTTTTGGATTGTATTGTTATAACGTGTTTTCTCGTGGGAATGAAATAATCGCCCGCGGTAAAAAGTAGCCTATGTCACACTCCAGCCCTCCAACTACCTCCACACAAAAAATCACATATATATATATACATATATATATATATATATATATATACATATATATATATATATATATATTATTGTTTCTTGCAATTTAGTTTTTTATTTAAAAAAAAAACATGTCAAATTTCATCAAAATAAAAGAACATATCAGCCATTAAACCGTGAAAACGAGGCGGACATACAGAATTACTTTACATTGATGTTATTAATATTGGTTGAATTTAAATAATTATAGTAGTATTTTCCGTAAATACTCTATTATTTATTGTGGAGATTTAGACTTAGACTAAATAAATAT